GCGCAGGTGCAGTGTAGGGGGCTGCAGGGTTCAGCAGCATGGAGAATAATTGCAGTCCGCCGTGGAGCCATGGGAGAAGTGCTGAGCTTGTCACTCTTCCAGGGTCCTGTAGTGAGCAGGTGCCATTGCGATTAGACAGTGGTGATGCTGACAGTAACTCTGGGCCCTGCGGCCGGCACCTTGATAATCTGTCTCCCTTTGGTATATGGACATGTCTCTTTAAAGACGGAGAGGCAAGAAAACTCTAAAGCGTTGGTGAAAGGGAGATGTATGGGCAGGAAGAGGGTTTCTTAGCCATCCTGTCTCCTGAATTGAGGCAGCTGCCTTTTCTTCTGTGTAAGAGGCTTTCCCTCAGGGCTCCTCGAACCAAGCTTTCCTACTTATGCAAACCCAGGCAATATCTGATCAGCTGTAGGAGGGTAGATGCCTCCACTTAAGATTTCCATGTGGCCTCCAAGAGAGGCCTTCACCTCTCAGCTCATCACCAATTCTTAGGATTCCAAATGACTTTTGTTTTTATATTTACATTCTCTAAAAGTTAAACTTGCTTTGGAAGGGCTGTGTTCTCATCCAGCTATCTACAAAACTCTTTGAGGTACTGAACTGTCTGTTTCTCAGTTATGTGAAGTTACTTATGCTAGTCTAGTTCTCTCCTTCTCCACTGTGTGAGTAAAAGGAAGAACACCTTTCCACCTTCCTGTAGGAGGGGGAGTTAAACCCCTATGTCCAGGGGGCCATGCCAGACCAGAAGATAAGAGACCTGAAGATCTCTTGCCTGAGATGAGAGCATAGATGGCAGTAAACAGTGGGACAGAAAATGACATGAAGGCCCCTTTCAGCCTTGGTGTAAAACATGCAACTGTGTAGCACTACTTTCTCTCTCTCTCGTCTGTCTCTCTGTGTCTGTCTATGTCTCTGCCCCACCCACTTCATTTTACAAGCAATGTGGAATGGGGGCTGTTGATCACTTTGGAATCAGATGCTACAGTCAAACACTAGAAACGCTCATGTGTAAATCCATAAATGGTCATGTAATGGTCACACAAAGTATTCAGAGTCTAGAAATCAACTTGTAAGACTTCCTTAAAACATGAAAGTGAATGACTTTATTTCAAGATAGCTCTATCTAGGTGTGGTAGCGTTGGGAACCTGAAAACCTATAGCATCAGAATCTTACATGGAAAGCCAGCCTCCATCAGTTCTCATGAAAAAATTGAGGGAGGGAAAGAGGCAGGAGGGAAGGAAAGAGGAAGAGAGAAAAGAAGGAAATGGGAAGGAAGGAAAGGGAAGAGAAAGAGAAAAGAGGGACCATGTGGGATGAAGGTCCTCTGCTGGGATGTGCAGCATAATCTACCTCCTCCCTCTTTCTGTATCACAGGCCTACAGAGTGAAAAGCATGATAGCTTACAAGATCTCTTGAGACAGAGACTGAGGACTCAGTCACCATTTCTATATTCATAGCTCCTGCAACATAAACTGTAAATTTAAGCAAAGGATGGAAAAGTAAATAAGAAAGAAGGATGGGAGGAAGAGCCAGTTGGCCTTGACATCCTGATCTACATGTGTTCTTTGTCTTTTGAGTCCAAGGTAGCTGATCCCTTGGACTCTCCCTGGAGTTATTTTCTGGTACTCAGAGTGAGAACAGGGTAATCTCTACATTCCTTAATGGATAGGCCCAGGTGCTATGGATGGTTTAGAGCTAAAATGTTCCCCAGAAGTCTCACGTGTTCAGAAGTGGGTGCTTTTGAAAGTGATTGGATTATGGATATGCTACACTTGTCAGTAGATTAGTCCATTGATAAATTCATAGCTGAATGTGCTGTTAGGAGGTGGAGTCCAGGTGTAGAAGGTGAATCACTGGGTCCCTTTGGAGGGTACGTGTGTCTCTTTGGCTCTTTTTGCTATCTGCTTCCTGACTACCACAGAGTGAGAAGCTGTCCTCCACCATGCATTTCTAACTTGGAGCCATCTACCATGGACTAAACCCTCTATAGTCATATGCCAAAATAAAGCTTTTCTCTCTCTAAGTTTTGCACGTTAGGTGCTTTGTCCTAGCTACAAGAAAGCTGTCCCATACAGGTGCCAGCACAGTCCTCCCCTTGGCTGCACAACTCAAATATCTGTCCTGTATTTACAAGCATGCTACAGCTTAGTACTTAATAACGAGCCCTTCAAAGAGGACATCAATCTGGCAAGCTGTCAGCCCCACAGAAATCAAAAACCACATTTTAGCAAGGCTTTGTTTTGGGACCAAACATTTTTCATGTGTCTTGTTCAGACTGGTCAGTCTATGGCAGTGGTGGCAAAGCTCTGGCACAAATGCACCAGTAGACACACAGATGCCAAGTGTAGAAGTTGGATTTTTCTAAACTAAAACCTCAGTACTCAGGTTTAATTGCAGTACTGGTACTTGGTGATAAATAAGTGAGTTTTGGGTTGCAATTTGAGCTGACAGTACATTTACCTGTTATGATTAGTGTCAGTGATACCAAATATATTGGTTTCCTCTGGCTGCTATTAACAAATAGCTACAAATTTGGCAACTTGAAGCAACAGTCTCATAAGAGACCAAAAGTCCCACATGAAGGTGTTAGCAGCGCCCAGATCCCTTTGAAGGTACTCAGTCTGTAAAAGGTTCCTCATCACTTGTCTATAGTAGCAGGAATGTGTCAGTACCTTAGGGACATCTTTTCTAATCAGAAGAAAGGTTTCTTAATATTAACGATAAAACATCCCTTCCATGAACTGCAGAGATTCCGAACTTTTCCTTGATACTTATGAATCTAGAGGCCAGCATATGTGTATATTAAAAGGTTTTGCTGGGAAGAATAATAGCTTTTAACAAACCTGTAGTTGGTGTACTTACCCGATATTGGTGTTAAACAGCAGGAGGTCAGAAAGAGACCAGAGCACTGTGGTTAGGAAGAAGATCCCAGAGGTAGGCCACGTTCATCCAAAGTTGACCTTTATTGAAGATGCTGTAGGACTTTTAAGAAAGAGCCTTAACCTCTTAAAGACACAGGAGTAAAGGTAGTATTGACTGTACTTGCAGAGCCTAGGGCCACTGTAAAACATAAAGCGGTGGATAAGGGATCCAGCCCCGAGCTGACAGTACATTTACCTGTTATGATTAGTGTCGGTGATACCAAATATATTGGTTTCCTCTGGCTGCTATTAACAAATAGCTACAAATTTGGTGACTTAAAGCAACAGTCTCATTGGAGACCAGAAGTCCGACATCAAGGTGTTAGCTGGGCCCTGATCCCTCTGAAGGCTATAGGGGAAGATCCTTCCTTGCTTCTTCGGAGCTTTGGTGGCTCCAGGTGGTCCTTGGTGTGGCTGGCTTTTCCCTCTTTACATGGCCTTCTCTGTCTCTCTTTTCTTCGGTCTTTTCCCTCTTTACATGGCCTTCTCTGTCTCTCTTTTCTTCGGTCTTTTCCCTCTTTACATGGCCTTCTCTGTCTCTCCTTTCTCTGCGCCCCTTGTGAGGACACACACCATTGGATTTAGGCTCCACTCAGGTAATCCATGATGATCTCAAGGTCCTTCACCTAAGTATATTTACAGAGTCTTACTTTCCAAATAACACCACATTCACAGTTCTGAGAGTAAGACCAGGGAGCATCTTTCCTGGGGCCACTATTCAACCCTCTATATCAAGGCCAAAGCATAGGGGTGACTGGGCCACCGGCCAGTGCCACTGAAGATAATTCTTCTATCTCCATCCGCCAGAGCAGGGTGGTGGACAGGTAAATGTGAAGTCAGTACCTCTGGCCTATAGGTCCAGTCAGTCATGGGTTCTGACTATTTATATCTCAGCTAGAACCCAGTGCCTTGGTACTTTCATTTCCCTGTGAGGAGAATGCATTTGTGTGTGTGTGTGTGTGTGTGTGTGTGTGTGTGAGTGTAATTGGATATGTTTCATGTTTTCTAGAGCACCTATATAGATAGAACCAGAAGCCCCAGTGGCAGACAAAGGGAGCTTTTCCCAGTGTTTATGCCACAATGCTAGGCCAGCAGACAGGCAGCCTGGTGCCTCTAGCCTGAACCCCCCAAAAGCCCATAACCACACAGATGGCAGTAAAACAGAGGAACAGAAAATGGCATGAACACCAAAGCCAGTTGGGATACACTCAAGAATTTGACCTCCTGGACAGAGCTTGACGTGTCACTGTTGTTTTGAAGCAGGCAGTGTCTTTATTGCAGGGCCTTGTGCATTGGACACCCGTTTCAAAGGGATGGTGATTTACTTTGCACACCTCATGTTTATCCCAAATTTTCAAATCCCCTGATGGTACCTTTTCAGTTTTATATATTTAAAAGAGCCATGTGGAATACAGTCCACATCAGAGTTTACCAAAAGTTTGTAGCAAATAAAGAACAAACACTATATGCTGATACAAGAAACAGCTCTAGTTACAAAGCTAACTCTCCAAACTGAGTTGGTTTAATTCATTTCAATTATTTTTCCTCACGCTATGGAACCAAAATACAGCTCCACTGTGATTCAGTTATGTTAGGGCCCTTTAAAACCCAACAAATTGTAATTTAAATAATACAAAGGACTACAGTTGTCTCTGCTTTGCCTTTTTCCCCTCTGGTCTCAGGACACCCCAGCCTAACTTTCGACTGACAGGGAGTGAAGCGAAAGATGTCACTTGGCTCCATCACCAAAAGTCACTCTAGTGCCTTTTTGTGTCATATTTCACATTGCTCTTTCAAGGCTTAGCCCCACACGGACTTTTCATTAGGAAACAATCGCCTCCAGAGCAGCAGAACAGCCCAATTGTTATGGAGATTAAAGATACTGATTGCAAAATGCCTGCAAATAAAATCTGCAGTGACAAACCGAGTTTCTTTCCATAGACTTTTTCTCCATAATCTTTTTCTGGCAGAACATTTTATGTTTTGATGTTAGAGATTCAGTTACCAACCACAATAAATAAAATGGAATAATAACTTTAAAAAATAGTATAGAACTCACTCACCCTAAAAATAAATATTGGCCAATCATGTTTATTTTTTTGTGCACTCCTTAGAATGGGGTGTGCAGGGGACCAATTCATATTCTGTTGGTTTCGGATTAGCAAGCTGTGGAAAGTCTTCAGGTGGAGTTTTAGCCTGTCCAGCCTGTCCAGGCTCTCTGAAGTAGCAAGAAACAGAACATCTACTGTTTTAAAAAATATAAGCATTTTCGAGAGGAAACAACCATGGTACTATGCGGCTGTGTGAGCCATGGACAGGAAAGGCTGTCTTCCCAGATGCAGGCTAAAGGACCACAGTCCAGGGCATCCTCACTGTTATTATTTCATTCCATCTCAAGGGTGTGTGTAAGGTTTAGGACTACCCAGATACGGCTGCAAGATCTAGAAAGTCATCTTCCAATTCTGATGTCTGTGGATCACATCACACCAGTTAACTACCCCCTGCAGAGGTGACTCCCCTTCTTAAAAATGAATCTGCTGCTTTCCAGTCATGGGGAATGAGGGTAGACAAAAGGAACCTGTGCATGCCCTATCCCCTAACAGAGTGACGTAAGACCTGAGCTTGAAAGCACACAGGAATGAGCTGATGGCACTTTCTCCATCTTGGTTCTTCCTCACAGTCTGAACTGGCTCATTGAATCTGAGGCTCCATAAGTCAGCATAATCGTCCAGCCACGTCCTTCTGGGAATATGCAGGCAGATACTCTAGGATCCTTCAGCTCTGGGGCTTGGGAATGACCCCACTGGTGTTGTAGAAGCAGAACCTCTCCTGGGAAACTCTTTTGGTCCCTGCTACCTTGGGTGACAGCGGTTCACTCAACTGAGACAATAACAGCCTCCTTGCTCCATAAATTGCTGGTTTCCATTATGAGAAGGGTCCTCTTTACCCTACGGCTTTATGTGTTTAACCCGAGTTACTCCTAGACCAGATCCAAAATTCAGAGCGCCTGAGCTGCGCCAATTCCTCCCTGCTTCAGGCAGCTTAAAAACACATCTGGAGGTAAAAAGAGAAAAAGAGATGATGTGACTAAGGGTTGTACCTCTTGGAGTTGCCGGTGGTAGAAAGGGAGGGAACATGGTTCTTTTATAAAGTCCCATGGGACAGTTGAGCTGTCCCAGCCACTCTCGCTCCATTAGCGCATCTCCCTGCACATATCAGATGGCAAATTATATAACGCTAAAGTTATTAAAATATCTGTAAAAGTCAGCACAAGCTGAGGGCTTGGCTCAGCCTCTCTGCCTGTTCAGTGGTTTATTTAGATCTCTTGTCTCTAGGTCTGTTAATCTTCATCTGTGCTTCACTGTAAATCGCCCACTATGTGAGACCGTTGTAATTGCCTGAGTTTTAAGATATGCTTGTGATGGTTGCCCAGCCATTCTGGTATCTTAAGGATGAACTCAGATGCTTCTGAAGCATGGGCTCTCCCATGCCCAGTTTCCCAGCTTTAAAATCACAGCATTTGTGTGTAATTATTTGAGTACTTGAGCAGCAAGATTCTAACAAGGGCGTCTCCTAGTTCACACATTCACCAAAGGCAGTAATAAAACAGTAATTCATTTTGGTAGCATGGGCTGAAGTCTTTGGTACACTGAATCTCCATCATCCTTCCCCTGTGGATGGTTTCAGGAAGCGCTGGCTGGAAGGTTCTGCCTGTGCTGCCTTCTCTGTTTGCATGTGACCTGCTCTGTTTTCTCTACCACCAAATCCCAGGCCCCTCAGCTATCGTGTAAGTGATTCATTGTGTTGTCTTAGTAATTCTGGATACTGAAGCTACTAGGAGTTAAGAGTCAGCCCTAACCTTCTCAGGAAGACCAGCAGAGATGCCCCCAGAGCCCCTCATCCTCTAAGTAATTAAGCTATTTGGGGGTGAGGGTTAATATTTTTGCTGTGTGATCAAGCCTCGAGAGACTCCAAGCCACCATAAGTTGCTAAATGAGAGAAGTCATTGCCCAGACGTGGATCTGTTTAATTTAATATGATTTTCCACAAATTACGAGGCATGACTTTAAAATTGAATTTGTGTAAAATTACGGATGGCCAATTCAGGTGGAAGGGAAAGGAAATCTTGTTATTCCTTGTCCAGAATCTCTTCCCGATTTCCTCATTTGATTCTTTCACGCCTTACAGGGAGGGAGGATGCATTAGTGGGTCTATAAAGAGTTTCTCTTATTTTCAAACTTCCTCCCTGACTATTCACAGCTCCTTCCAAGGAGGACACAGCAGGGTGGACACACCAAAGCAGGATGCCAATTCTACCCATACATTCCATCAGCCAGGGTAGAGCTCTTCTTCCCAACTTGTCATCCGAAAGGACTCAGAATAAGAACTGGAATTCCCAGAATCCACTTACTAAGGATAGGCAAATGAGGATGCATAGTATTTGCCCTGAGAACTGTTTGGAGGGTCAAAGGCATGGGTTTGAAGTTCAAACCCCACACTGTCCACTTTCAAGTTCTGTGACCTTGCCAACAGCCTTTAAGTCCTCTCTGCTATTGTTCCCACCTGCAAAATGAACATGATGGTGACAGTAGCTAACTCATTGGATAGTAATGAGGACGAAGTGAGTTAAGACGCATAAAAGCACCCATGCCTATAGCATGTGGTAAGCACTGTGTATCTTTACTCTCCGTGCTTTGCCAAATCATCACCAAAAAATGAGATGCATTGGTCTGAGACTTAGCCTGGAGCCTGGTGCACTTTAAATACTTATGAAATGGTCAGCCTGATTACCGCTATTGTTATTGCTGTCATCGGACTCCAGCTGGCCGCCCTGGCACATCACCCAGGTGTTGCTTGTGGGACCTGACCTGTGAGCCTCGCAGCTACTCTGCGTCTCCTTATTCCTCAGCAGTGATGATAGTCCTGGGAGAGGAGGGCGGCCACAGTTTTAGTCGTGTTTTCATCCGAGTTTGGTTTCCCTGCATAAACACCAACAAGGAAACCATAACCACTGCTCCACAAGACCACATGGGAATGTGAACTGTTGAAAGGGGCCTTAGCCTTCTTTGCTCAAAGCCCTGCGTTTCGCCAGGGGAACACTGGAGGCCCACAGAGTCTCAGTGATTTGCCCAGTTGAAGGGAGCCCTGAAATCCAAGTCCTGGACTCCTGGCCCAGCGCTCTTCTTCTGCTGAGGTTTATGTCTCTGTTGTTGGTTCAGATCATTCACATGGACTTTAACCATGCTCAGCCTTGCTCTGCCTTTTTCTAGAAACCTGCTTCCTCCTCAATGAGATGACAGGGCCCCCTGGTGGGATTCACTACTGTCTGCTCCTTTTGCAACTCCATGTGTTTTTGGATGTTGAATTTCATGTTGAGAGGAGTAGGAATTTTTAAAACAAGCCACAATCAACCAACCTCCTCCAAGGCACCCTGCCCCTGTCTCTTCGTCCATCAAGCTCAAGCACGGCAGCCCTGGATTTAGGGCGGGGGAGGACAAGCAGCTGCAGTGGGGTTGACAGGTCACTTCCTGACCACGGGGCCCACATGGGCAGTAGTCCAGGACGAACCCTGCCCCCTCCGTCACTTGCATGAATTAGACACATTCAGAGAACGTGAATGGTCAGCCTCTTCGGTATTTTCAATGAACCATCTACAAAAGGATTTCTTTAAAGCAAGTTGCACCTTTCCGTGTGATATTGAGCCCATACCTCCCCACCCCCACCCCCACGCCGACCCCGCCCACCAGTCTGGCCCTTTAAGCCTGGCTGAGGCTTCGGCTTGGCTGTGCTGTGGGGCCAGGAGAAGGACGACAAACAGGTGCTGAGGGCGACTAGCAGAGTCCAGAGCCACAGCTGTGGGAACGCCAGGCAGCTCTGACAGGCCACGGCCGGGAGGGGAGGAGGCTGGTGCCCAGTGACAGTCCCCTCATCCACGCCACTGCCAAATGCATGCCATTTACTCTCCAAAGAGAGCACAGCAGTGACAGCCAGCAAGCTGGGACCAGATAAAGGCGACTCTGTGATGGCCACACCCTTGTCCCTGACTTCAGGGTCAGGGGCACGAATAGCAGGGCCAAAGCGATCCTGGAATGTCATAGGAATTTGCAGAGAATTCGAGGGGCTGGAGAAGAGGCTACTGCTCAGTAGCATGGCTTTTGGACTCACTAAGCCTGGGCAACTCCATTGTCCTCTGTCCTAAATGAAACTTACTAGTTAACCCAGAGCCGCAGGAGCTGGGGACCTGCACTGATTGGCCGTGTGGGCCCGTCCCTGTCACCCCTGCCTTCACCTTCCATGGCGTGTGGCTCTCTGCTTGTCCTGACCACACTCCCTGGGGACTCCTGTGCTGGGCTTGCTTCGGCAACCTGAGAACCACAGGTTTCTCAAAAGAGACACGGGGCGAGTCAGAAAGGAGCGTGCTGGGAAACAGCCTTTTCTTACTCAGAGAAATGAATCCCCTCAGAAACAGCTGTTCCTTGCATTGAGCATTTTCTCCCCGTCGTGAAGACCCCTTCCAATCTGGGCAGTTTTTTGTTTGTTTGTTTGTTTGTTTTCTGGTACCAGGAATTGAACTCATGACCTTGCGCTTGCCAGGCAGGTGCTGTGCCACTGAGCTAAATCCCCAGCCCCTATCTGCGCAGTTTTTATAGTGACTTTGAACTTTTGATCACCGGAGATGAGTGAGTCACAAGAAGCCAGACCAGCACGGAGGCATCAGCCCCCTCCTCAGGTAGATGAGCAACTAGAAGCCCAGAGAGGTTAAACAACTTGCCTCGGATAAGACAGACACTGCTCACATTCCAGTGCTCAGCTTTCCTCTCCCATCCTCTGCAGCTCGAGTGCGTTCCTAGTATTTGGAATTAGCAATGTGAACCGTCCTGAGCGGTCCCTTAAAACAGCACTTAGGCGAAAGAGGGGCTGTTGGAACAAGATAGGGCAAACCCCAGTGTGCCTCTGCATACTGCTCCACCCAGTTTCTCATCTTTATATTACAAAAAAAAAAAAAAAAAGTTTCAAGTAACCCAAACAGGCAGGGTCTGACCTGCAGACAGTCTGCAGGCACCTGCCCAAGAAGCTGCCGGCCGGCTGGTCCATCCTCCTCTGATTTATGTTGTGTGTGTTAAGCCTTAAATTGTTGAGTCTCTGGCTGGCTGCAGTGGTATTACTGGAGGGCTGGTGCATGCTTTCAGCTCACAGAGTTGGCTCCGGACTGGAGGTGTTGGCCCCGAATCAAGTCCAATCTCACACCTGTCTGAGACAATGAGGGCCTTGTTAGACACATCTCCAGTCGAGGCGGCTCAGCCTGCTTATTTTTCACGTTCAGAACCGAGAGGAGGGGGGCCTGGGAGAAGGGGGACAGGGAGAGGCCAAGGCGAGACTTGGGAAAAGCTGGGGTCAGCCACCTCCAGTGTCCTTTCCCCCTCTTGCCTCTTCCTCCCAGCCTGTCCCGATTTTATAAACTTTTCCTCGTTTTTGGAAATTAAAAAACAAACAATACAAACAGTAGTCCTCTTATGAAGGAGAATTTCCTACTTGCAAAACAAGGAGCTCAGGGCCTGTTATAGAGAAAATTCTCAGTCGTCCTGGGTTGGGCAGCCCAATGGAGAAGCAGGGTGAGGAGGAGCACTGTGGACCCCCGCCCGGCCCAGCACTCACACTGCAGTCCTTCCCCGCAGGTGGGTGTGTCCTGGAAGGTTTCCCCTTCTGTGCTAACTAGCACTGCAGTGACTGAAGCAGGAAGCAGCTCTGTAGTTTTCATGGAAGAAGGAACAAACCGCCCTGTCCAGCCTAACCTTCCTGCCGTATGACCAGCAGAGAACAGAGCTGGCTACCAGCACTGATGTCTGCAGATCCTGCCCTCCTGGGACTCCAGCAGAGACAGCCACAGGGCAGGAACCCTTCAGGCTCCAGGTTGGCACCCGTGGGGCCAGTGTCCCTGGAGAACCCTTCTTCAGCCAAAGCCACCCGGAAATGATTCACTTTCATAGAACTGCACCATGTGGAGCCCCATAGAATAAGGGTCAGAAAAGAACTTCCCAGACTATGAAACCACACTTTGGTGGGAGACCCCCATGGTGGAAGCACTTGGTTGCTCTCCCACCACCAACCCAAATCTTGCCATTCCTCAGTCCCCTCTGCTCCATGTCCTTCCGGGCATCTCTTTCCCCACCAAGGACCAGATTTCTCTTCCTTGTTCCTGCACCCCTCCAGTGGTCCCTTTCACTTTGATGTCCCCTATATATGGCCCTCTGTTTTTACCAAGGAGGTCACACCTTTGAGCGCTGCTTCCCCAACTGTTACGATCTCTGTACCATAAGATTATCAAACAGCCCACAGAGGCTAGAATAGTGTTGTATGCTCCCCTAGCCTGTACCCTCCTCTTTCCCAGAGAACATCCTAGGGCTGAGACCAGCAAGTCAGGGGAATTTCCAGCAGCTGAAACTCTTTCCTATTACTCTGGAGCCTTAGGCCCTAGGCCAGCTCTCCAAGAAAAAGGACTAGCAGGAATTCTCCAGGATTTTCCCTGCCTTTAGGATAGAAGATCAGAACTATTATAAGGGGTGGTTGAAAAAGATAATGAATGCTTAAATTTTGCTTTTAAATATATTACAGTAAAAGCCATGCTTCCAGTGATCTTCAAAATACTTCCCCTCACTTGAATGCACTTATCCCATCATTCTTGACATTTTCTGAAGCAGCTCTGGAAGTTCTCTTTCCTGGGGTTTTAGTTGCACTGTTATGGCTGCCTCTGTGTCCTGAAGCCATTCAAAACGTTTCCCTTTCATGGTCATTTTGACTTGGAGGAAGAGACAGAAGTCACACGCTGTCAGATCCGGTGGACAAGGTGGATGAGGACACGTTATAATGTGTGTACAAGGCTGCCTTTCCATTGAATGGCACGCGGCAGCATTGTTCACGTATTTTCTGATCACACCGCACAAAGCCACAATAAAGGACTTTCGGAGCTGCTTCAGAAAGTGGCGAGAATGATGGAATAAGGGTGTTCAGAGTGAGGGGGGATATTCTGAGGGGAATTAATGCAATGTATCTTGTATTCTAATAAGTTATTTTCAGTTTAACACAAGGTATATTTTGATCACCCCCACATTTGTCAGTTTTAAGCCCAAGAGCAATGCCATAAAGAGGCGCCTGGGAGGGCCTTGCTGCTCACTGCCTCACGGTCCTTTCCCTCTTCCCAGCACCCAGCTGGGAGTTTGGGGAGGGGCCTGGCTGCTACCACCCACCCCTCCTGGCCCTTCATTTCACTTCTGTAACAGGGAAGAAAAAGAAAGTGAAGTCTGCCTGTCTCCTCTTTCTAGCCCCGTGACTTCCTACACCTTTCGGTAACTAAAGCTGCAGGACACTCTCTGTGCCCAGGCCGGCTCTCACCCTCTTTCCTCCTGCCTGCCTTCCTCCACAGAGGGCTCAGCCTCACCGGAGGCTATCTTGGAAACAGGAGGACCTGGTTTACACACTTAATTAGAGACTTGGACCCCAAAGCAAGACAGTCTTATTGACCCACTACTTCCTGAGAATCCCAGCCCTCTCCTCAGTACTGCCTCCTGGGCACTGGACTTCTTCCTGCTTCCTGAGGCTCAGCTGTGTCCCTGAATTGCCCCTTCCCTGCCTGTGTCACCCATTTCTTCCAGCACTTTTCACATCTACCTGTTTATCCTGTTGGCTCCATTTATCTTGCTACCCTCCACCCATTACCCAGCCTGGGGGCTTCAGGCCCCCCCCCCCATCCCGAAGGCTTCTGTTTCTGCCCCACACCTTCCCCACCTCCCCCTCTGCCATTCGGCTTCCTGTGCTCACATGATCATTTTCCGCCTGCTGGATAAGAAGCCATGTCAGTCCATCTACGTTATCCCCATGTTCTCTGTCTGAGAAAAACATGTGGATTTGCTAAGGAAAGATCTCTTATCACCTCCTTGTATTTCCTTTTGAGTTTCTTTGTCTCCTCTTCCCTTGGTTCCTTGGAAGCCTCTTTTGTTCAAATCAAGGAGAAAGTGATTTGGAACAGCAGTTGAGACAGACTTACCTTTTTTAAAAAAATTTGTTTAGAAGACAGGACGTTCCTGTTTTCAGAAAGGTTGCTCATTTCCGAAGAGGTTAGTTACAGAGCCAATCGGCTATTGGATGATTTCCCCCATGCATATTTTTCCGTCTGCTATACAATACAAAAAAAAATTAACCAATGAGAGAGTCAGTCAGTGAATACAAAGGGAGATGTGCTTTTTGTTGTTGTTACTTGCATTTTCTTGTGAAAAACAGAGCAAGACCCTGAGGTGCTGAGGTGAGGACAGAAATCTGATGTTATCAGCCCCCAGAAATCCTGCCCAGAGTCCAGTGGCAGGCAGGATCCAGAAACTCCAAAGGACCACGGCAACTGGCCCTGCTCAGTACAAACGGTGCTTTTAGTCTTTCGTAAACAGCCTATGCCCCAGGGCTCAAATCCTTCAAAAGTTTGCCTAGGTAATTGTGTTTCATTGCTGTCTGGCTTGTGCTCATCTGTCTAATCTGGAGGTTCAGACAGCCAGGCCAAAGCTTGTGAGACTGCAGAGGAGCGAGCCCGTGAATTTAATCCACTTGAAAGACAGACTAATACAAGCGCAGCTCACTCATTATTTTAAGTGATGTGAGCAGAAAAGGGTATGGCCCTTTCCATAAAAGAGTTTAGAATCAGCACGCTCCAGCCACTTGGCAGTTTAAGGCCACTGGAAGAAAAGGTGCAAACAGGGTGACAGCGTGCTCCCTGAAACTGTCTCCCGGTCTCTGGAAGTCTGCCCCCTCTCTGACACCCCTAAACACAGAGGTATGGGGAAACAGCCTCTTCTTTCCCTGATTCTGACTTGGGATTTTGGCTAATTCACAGCAATACTTCTCTGAAACTTTTTTTTTTTTTTTTTTGAGACCTGGGGTTCTTTGGGCGTGGTTTCTGAGTGGAAAGGAGATATAAATGGAAGAGGGAATTTTAAGTCAGCCCGACAAAACTCGAATCCCACAGACCTATAAGCTGGAGAAAGTACCTCTCCCCAGGGCTTATCGCCAAATCATGCCTGGAGAACACGTCTATCTTTTCTTGAGGTTTAAATCAGCCTTTCCTTTCCACCAGTGTATGGTAACGAGATGGGAGCAGGCCGTGCTTTCTAATCATAGTATGGAAGCAACAGTTGTCTACAAAGAGCCAGGGGATCTGTCACTGCAATGTGTCACAAGACACAAAGTCCCTTTACTTCTCCGCACTTCAGCTCCCTCTGAGATGGGCTGGCACAGCAAGTGTGTGAGGTCGTCTTCTGCTCCATCACTCCGTGATACGTTGGAATGAGACTCCAGAAATGTTGACTGCGATTTGCATCATTATCTAGTTACATGTGACTCATGCCAGGGAAGCTTGGGAGAGGCAAGCGCTGGCCTGTCCCTTCCCAGGTGGCAAAGCTGATGGTCAGCTCAAGAGCAATCTTGTTGGTCATTTATACCTGCAATTCACCTAAGGCCTAATGTGCCAGCTCCAAGTCTGGGTGCCAGGCCTGAGACAGAATGCAGTCATCCCAAGCCCTGGTGTGAGGATGCAGTTCTGCCTGGGCTCCCACAGGGGGTTCGGAAGGTGCCCACTTCACAACTCACCTTCCTCACCCCTCCCATGGGCCTCCCACCCAGGGTACAATGTGGTTGTCTCTTCCCTCCTTCTGAGGGACAGCTCTCCAAGTCACATCCTCCGGCTTGCCATTAGGGTCAGACATGGTGACAAACCTCGGTGGCAGTGTGGCCTCCCCGGTTTCCCCTGACATTTTAAGGCACCCTTGCCCTTCAAGGATGGATCACTTTCTCTTGTGGGATCATCTTGTGCACTGAAGATGTCACACAGCATATCCGGTTGCCACCCAGTAAATGCCACTCGCACTCCCCTGGCCCTAAGACAGCCAATCAAAATGTCTCCAGATATTGCTAAAAATCCTCCAGAGGAGAAATCAGCATGTGACAACTGCGGATTCAGGTCAGTGTGGGAAACTGACAAGGATTTAGTCAGATACACACAGGATCTCTGTGCCTAACGCAAACATGAGCAGCTCGGGCGTCTGTGAATGAATTTGGACTTCTTTAGGACCCTAGTAACTCTGATCTGCACAGGCCATCGCTTTTGCTGAGTAACAGCTGTGTTATTGTCTGCTATCTCAGCCTCTACATCTAACTTCTTTTTAAATTCTTCTGCTTTAGTCCAAGTCACTAAAAACCGCCTGCTTCTATGAGAAAGGCTTCCTTGACCTTGTAAATCAAAGCAGTTCTCTGGAGAGAGGTTTCCCTCTGCTGGGCTCCATATCGTCTTTCTCAGGGTGACCTCATCTATTAAAGTATGAAGGTTGTATTTGAAATGCCATTTACTTTCTCTAAGTCAATAAATGAAGCTGTGGATCTTTAGATCATCAGAGGTCTGCTTATTACCAGGAGTTTTTCTGTCTGTGTGTGTATGTGTGTCATTTTTTAAATGGAGATCTGTGTTGGAGTTTAAAAGAATTCCAGCAGATTTCCGTTTGCCTTTCTGAATCAGAGTGCGGGGTGATATTCCTCTGCGAGTGTAGATTGTCCCCAGATGAATCTGACTTTATTAGTTTATGTCCTTTGTTCAGAGCACCAGGGATGA